ATTTTCTCAAAGAACCACCATCAAACACACAGGTGAAAAATGATGGCAGCTCCAGCCCAAGAATCCAAACATTTCAAAATAAGTGTTTACACAAAGTGGGTTACTAATTTTCCTTTTAAATATTGGGAACCAACCTCCCCCCAAACCCTTTTTCTACGCACTATTCCGATGCTAGCAGCAACATCCAGATCTTATTGCCGCAGTCAACTGGGATGGGATGCTTTCCATGTGACTTCTTATGGGTTTCCACCTGTAGCCTAGAACAGTTTGCTTACATTTTGTTTGATGCTGCAAATCCCAGGGCCCCAAAAGACGGCAGTCACACTCTGTTGCAAGAGCTTCGGAAGGCTAAGCGTGGTTTCCATCAAATTGAAACCCCCAGCATCCATTGAATGCATGATTGATTTTAGATAAGTTGTTCTACGGAATCCAGGTCAGATGCAGAATTTGCAGCTGCCATATGTCCCAGCTCTTGCCAGCAGCTCCCAGAAAACAAACAACATGTTAGCTTCACTATCTTGAGAATTTCAATCAGATAAACTAGCATGTCAACAATACAAGGATGAAAACATACCGGATTCAATATATGTTACCATTGGGTGCTCTAAACCAGCAGCTGTGGCAGGAGGCAAAATAACCCACTCAAAGATCCTTTGATCCTCATGGCAACTCGTCCGCATATTGTTGAGCGGCTGCGATGGAGTTGTCGGCAATAGTGTCCTCGGTGATCTCGTGGTCCTTCATCCAAACATTGTGGAAGAACTTCCAGAACATGTCCTGGCAAAAGCCAGGCAGAGTATCCCCATCAAGAGTGTCCACCATAGTATTCTTATGTTTGATTTGGTGGTAAGATAGTGGGTTATACTTCCATTCTGGATAGGTCTGATAGTACTTATTTTAGATTACATTTTCCCATTGAGTAATTTATCTATTTCAAAGGGGTCCTATGGGGTACTGCTCTTGTGTTCCTCACTTGTCCCCGCATGTATATTAATTATATTATAATATATAATTTATAGTTTGTGGGTGAATGAGATGGTGCCATACAACATGTGGTGAGATATGCCCAACAGTTCAAAACAGCATCATGCTGGACAGTTGGGAAAAACTTAGCTAGATACAAAGTAACAATATTTGGCTCAAGCTGCTGGGACCTGTCAAGGCAAAACATGATGACAGCTGTTGTGGACACCAGCTTGATTTTAAGGACCGTTGCGAAACAATAAATACACAAAACGACATGTTTTTGTTTTAGCTCCCATGTTAACCTGCCCCACTCGCATATCAAACCAGAAATTGCCCAAAACTATTCAACCCAACCCACACCCACAACACCACATCCCCACCACCACTCACCAACCACCTCCAACACCATCAAACCTTTCCCTAACCTGACAAAACCCACACAGCACCCATCAGTCCTCATGGGCAGATGCATACTTGACGCGGATCTTGATGAAGTCAAGGAAGGCAGCGCGCAGCGCATTCCACTTACTTTTGGCAAGGCCAGATGCTGGCTCAACTCGCCTTGCAAAGGTTTTTGCTGGTGCTTTCAACCTCTTACCATCGTTTGGGTTTGCTGCAACCTCTGGGTTTGCTGCAACCTCTGGGTTTGCTGCAACCTCTGGGTTTGCTGCTGCCTCGGGGCTTGGTGTCTCCGGGTTTGATTCCTCAGGGTTTGCTTTGCGTTTCTTTCCCTTCTGTGCAGCCTTCTTTTTGGTAGTGCCACCTGTGGCCACATCAGATTTGGTTCCTGCCCGTGTTTTTTTCTTGGGAGGCTCCTCATTTCCTGCTGACTCATTCTCAAGGTTTGTGTCATCAACCTTCGCCTTCTTTGTGCCTCGAGTTTTCCTTTTGGGTTGTGTTTCCTCTTTAACCTCATCACCAGCCTTGGGAGCTGACTTGGCATCCCTGGACTCTGAATGGGAGGGTTTCCCCTCCTCCCTCTCATGTTGGTGCTCCGTCTCATCCTCCCCACAAACCCCAACATCAGACCCATAAGTGTCAGCCTTGGGCAATCCTTCATTTGGGCACCTGTCAGGCATGGGTTTCTTGGAACATGACTTTGGTTTCGCCTTCCCCTTTCCCTTTGCCTTTGCCTTTGGGCGACCTCTCGGCTTTGGTTTTGGTTTGTCAACCTCACCCCCCTCAGCATCTTCACCCGCCATAGCTTCCTTCAGCGCAAACTGGGCCCGACGCAAGACCTTAGCAGGCATGGATGGACAAGGGAATTACAAGGAATTGAACCATACAATGGGTTTGAATTCAACTATAAAACATTATAAAACCCCACCAGCAAGCTCAGCTAAACAATAAGAACAGGAAAACAAAAACGTTTTTTTTTTTCAAAAGTATATAAGTTTCGAAACTCCTCAAATAGACTAATCTTTGACTTGGTGCTATGGGTGTGGTATCAGGTATCTCTGGCTCCTCTTCGTCAAAAGCTTCAGCAATCAGGTCTAGCTCTTTGGGGGCCAAAGGCAATGTGTCAGCCTCATCACCACCAAAGGGCAAACTATCCATCACCACAACCGATTTTGCCTTCCTCTCGTCAGCCAGAACTGCTTGCTTGGCTTTCCTGATGATGATTGACATGGGGAGGTAACTTGGAATTATAAAAACAGGAAAACAAAACACTGGCAACATTTAAAACAAATTGCTTGATCCAAAAACATGCCCCCTAAGTTAACTAACTTGAAACCGAAGTTCCAGGCCATATGCTCTCTTTTGCATCAGCCAACTTCTTTGTAAGCATAGCGATCTTTTGGCTAAGGGGACAGTCTGGGGTCTTGTTGGAACTGATGGGACTATCTTCGATCAGCACACATTTGGGGATTGGCTCTTCAAACTCCAAATCCTTGGAGGGAGACTTGGGGGGAGTGGGTGTGCCACCTTGGCCCTCTTCAAACCACTCCATCTCGCTGCTCGGGTCTTGGGCAAACCACTCTGGAGTCTTGGCAGATGTCTTGGGTGGTGGGGTTGATGGGCACTCAACTTCTCCCCCAACATCTTCCTCAACATCTTCCCCAACATCTTCCCCAATATCCCCAACGTCATCCATGACGTCTTCTCCAACATTTTCCTCAACATCTTCCCCAACCAGTGTTTTGGGATCCGTATGCTCCTCTGAACTTCCCGCCCCATCCTCGGAATCGGAAGCAATGTCCTCAAGCGGAACCATCTCCTCTGGCTCTTCCATGTCATCCCCACCAGAAGGCTCTTCAGGTTCACAGACTGGCTCCTGAACAGGGAGATGGACAACATATTTCACATATAAAATCAGAGATCAAACGGACCTAAAGATATCTTAAGTACATTTGGAAGATACATAACTCATATAGTATAACATAAGAGCACCCTATCTCTCCTTCTCTTCAGGGTCAAACACTAGGGCCATGAGCTTTCGAAAGGTCTTGTTGCGGCAAAGCTGATCCCTGTTGAGCTTTTTTTTGATCAACACACAGAAAGCCTTTGCCAGCTTGGCCTCTTTCCTCAGCTCTCTGGGACCTGGAAGCGGGATCTTCATCTTCTCGTAAAGCGCTTTGATCCTTGGGATGATGATTTGGGGTGCTGCAGGTAGTTGCTGGGTGGTGTTTCTGCAACTCCAAACAAGTAACAACAAACGCACACAAAAAATGTTTCAAGGAAGTGGAAACAATACCAAACATAAATGAAAAAACTACTTGTGAATTTTTGGTCAAAGCTCTGCGTCAAGACATGTGGAACCTTGATTTGACCCACCGTGCCATCAGGCATGCGAAGCCTTTTGGCTAAGGGTTTGAGAACCTCAAAGTTCCGCTCAGCGCACTTGATAGTAGAGGAAGGTTCATTGGTACGTGCTTCACATGCGAACAGGCATCTTCTCACCCGCATATGTTCCCTGACCATTTCTGAGGCATCCCACTCTTGGAATACATCTTTTAGGGATGGCACATTCATTGCAAGGCAAAGCCAAAGAAAGGAGCCAACAAAAGATTGGGTACTGCCACTTGGACCTAAATGGTGGCAGTCGGCGGTCATTGTGGTCGGGGATGGTCCAGAAAACTACATGCATTGGAATGCAAAGATCGTGCGACATATGTTTTGTCAAAACAAATGCATTTTGAGATTTTGACATATAAGTAATATCAACCAAAGGCCTGACTTCAATACAGGCCTCTCACTAGATTTGATGATCCAATAACTACATCCGGGGTTCAGATTCAAGATTCCAATTGCTCTGGGTGATGTGCACCAATTTGTTGAAGCATCTTGGGATTCAATGAGATTAAAAATGATAATTATATTTAAACAATAATTTTCCCAAAGCACATCACCCAAAGCTTTGGAACCTTTCTTGCAAATGGGCCCTTTCCCAAGCCGCTTCCCAAGTCCAGGCCTTCATTGCGGCCCAAGACATCTTCCGCTTCATTGGAAAACAATTGAAAACAAACGCTGCCAATGGAGGGCGGCGATGGATGGATGTGGTTCGATGGTAATGTAGTAAGCCTGACCCCAAATATTGATCTATCTTCCAACTATTTCCAACTTATAGGACCTTAGATAGATTGAAATGGTAGTTTAAACAATTACTCAGGGATAAAACATGGATCCAAGGGTTTATGATAGTATTTACTTAGGGATTATCATGATAGTAGCATGTGGAAGTATTCAAAATACGCCCCTTTGCAAAACACGCCCCTGGGCCCAAAAGAAACTCTTTTGAGGCTAGGAATGTATTTATAAAAGGGTATCTAAATATAGCTATCCCCTGGGTTCAGGGTATATATATATATATATATTTATTTATTTATGACGTCGAGAGACCTTCATTCATTGGAAAATGGAAAATAATTAAAATCATCGAAAAAACAAACAAAAAAACAAACCACAAAAAAATCCCACAAAAAAAAAAACTAAAAAACAAACAAAAAACAAAACAATAACAATAAAAAAACAGTAAACAAAACAGAAACAAACAAGAAACAATAAACAGCGCACGGTTTGAAACTCAGAGAGACTTTGTGCTTCTCCCTAATCGCCGCAGCTTGTTGATACCACTTGCTCTCAAAGTCCACAGTCTGCTGCGTTGCCTGCTGCCAAGCTGCGACCAAAACTCCCAAAATCCAACAAGGGCTGCCTAGTCAAAGCTTCAAACAGTGCGCCTATTGCCCTTGATGGGGGGGCAAGCAATCAGTCTAGGGGGTGCCCGCGGCGGCTCGTGGTACCTTTTTTTTTTGGTTTTTTCCTAGGGGAAAAAGGGGAAAAACGAAAAAAAGAAAAACAAACAATCCAAAAAAACAATCCAAAAAGGGAGTACCATAAAAAAAAGGAGTACCACGAGCCGCCGCGGGCACCCCCTAGACTGATTGTTTGCCCCCCCATCAAGGGCAATAGGCGCACTGTTTGAAGCTTTGACTAGGCAGCCCTTGTTGGATTTTGGGAGTTTTGGTCGCAGCTTGGCAGCAAGCAACGCAGCAGACTGTGGACTTTGAGAGCAAGTGGTATCAACAAGCTGCGGCGATTAGGGAGAAGCACAATGGGGGTTTGTTTTTTTGGTTTGTTTGTTTTTTTTGTTTTTGTTGTTTTTTTAAATTATTTGCTGGCCTCCAGTAAAATGAAGCCTTTTGCGTCATATATATATATAACTAACTTGCCTCGTGGAAGCATCGACAGCAACGGCTGCCACGGTAACCACCAAGGACGAAAACTACAACAACAAAAACGACGATGACGACGACAACAACAGCAACAACGACGACGACAAAATATGAACAAGAGCAAGAGCAACCACAACGACAACAACAACAACAACGACGACAACAGCAACAGCAACAGCAACAGCAACAGCAACAGCAACACAAACAACAAAATATGGACAACAACAACAACAACACCAACAACAGCAACAACAACAACAAAAAATGAACAAGAGCAACAGAACAACCACAACAAGAGCAGCAACAACAACAACAGCAACAACAACAACAACAACAGCAACAACAACAACAACGACAACAACAACGAAGCACCGAACGAACAAAGGAACCACTGAACGCACGAGCAATTGAACGAATGAATGAACGAACAAAGAAGCAAAGAAGCAAAGAAGCAAACAAACAACAACAGCAGCAGCAAGAACAACAACAAGATACAACAAGAACAAGGATGACGACGAGGACAAGGAGGACAAGGAGGTGGGGAGGATGGGGAGGATGGGGAGGATGGGGAGGATGGGGAGGATGGGGAGGATGGGGAGGATGGGGAAGATGGGGAGGATAAGGACAAGGATGATGAAGCGGAGGGCGATGAAGCGGATGATGAAGCGGATGATGAAGACGATGACGATGAAGATGACGATGATGACGATGATGACGACGATGATGATGATGATGAGAACGAGGGGGAGGAGGAGGATTGCGACAACGATAAATGGCCAATAATGACAGCACTGACCATGATCACAACAGCGACAGCAATTACAACACTGTCACCGTCAACATGGGTCAACATGGGCCCACATGAGTCCAAACGGGTCCACATCATAAGCAACATAATTAAAATGAAATGTAAGTAAAACAATATTTTACAATAACATGGAGCCTAATTTAATTTCACTGAACAAAATACAATCGAATCAAACATAATTTAGTATAGTAAAGCAGACTAAACTGCAATAAACCATTAATATCATAGGCGACTATATATCCAATATATTGCGCGTATATAAATATATATACACATATATATATAAACGCACATATAAATACATATAAATACTGTAAATATATTAAATATATGTGTGTGAGAGTAGATATGTGTGCGTGTGTTGAACATAAGAAACGTATACACAGATATATCATAAACTGCAACGCAATACCACATACAGTGGTTTGATATAGTGCAAGAAACAGCATGCTGTAATGTATTGCAACATACAAGGCATCATAACGCATGGCATAGTGTCAGTCCAGGGGTAAAAGCTCGTGGGCTCGTGACTTGGAGGGCATTGCCATTAGTAGCAAACTATCACTTTGCCTGGTGACCTCACAATTTATATGGCTAACCAAAGCGTATTATATAATTCGGGGTTACTGTAGCAATAGTTGGCAAATAATGAAACACATTCAAACATGGAACAGCTCCTTCTAAGCAAACATGGCGTGCCCACACTCTGAAAACAAAGTGCTCATCCTTTTGGCTTTGTACTTGCAAGAGGTTGAAAAATATGCCATTACAGTCGCCTGGTGTAAACACCATTCAACAGCTCCGGTCATTCAGGGCCTCTCAGAGCAGGATAGCCTGAGAGGAGGATAGTGTCGCCATTCTTGGCACATCCGAATCGCACTTTCAAAGGGGAGCCCGGCGCTGCCTTGGCCGAAAGTTCGAAGCAATAAACCGTGATTGTACTGTATACATCTGTATACAATATTATTGCAATCATGAAAACAAAAATCAGCTCTTCCTTGCTTGTCTGGAAAGGCGTGACGGCCTCGAACTTTGGCAAGCTACTCGCCGTGGTGATGTTGTCAGTTTCCTGCTCGAATGACGTGCTCCAAACATCTCCAAACAGAAAGAAACACAGATGACACATGCCACATGACACCACAGCTTTGAGCTCCTGCCCATCGACATCCAAGCAACGGGCAGCTTGTCGTCCTTTTGCATTACTGCGACGGCACAATGAAAGCCTCCACTGCCTGACCATGCCAGACTGGCCCAATTGGAGCTATTATTGAAGTCCACGCTTCCAGGGCCAAACAATAGCGTTGACCAACTGGCTCAATGGCAGGCAAAGACCAGACAAAACCCAAAGTTGTTTGGAAATCCATCGATTTGTTGGTTTCATTCTCAGCCAGTCCTGGCAACCAAATATGTCCATATGTATATATAGAATTATATATATAACTATAAATAAATAAATATATATATATATAGTTATAAATAAAAAATACATATTTATAGAATTATAAAGAAGCACTAAAACTAGAACAGATCATACCTTACTGAAGCTCCCAGCTCGATCGTTGAGTACCCCGTGCCTGCAACTTCGATGTGCACAGAATCGCGGCATCGACGAAGGACAAGCCCTAGGCTCGCCAAAGGTGAGGGAACCATGTGTGAATGGCAAGGCACGGCGCGTATCAAAACGGATTACAGTACAATACATCGCAATATGTATGTAAGTGTGAAAAAATGCCCTTTTCACACAAGAGTCAACTGAGCACCAACCTTCATTCCTTTTGTCTTGCGCAGTGGTTGTTGGTGCCAGTTTGTCCTGGTTCCCTGTGTCTGGGATTGATCATACTGTATCTGTACAGTTCCAAAATTCAATCAACCAGGTCCTCCTTGGTGATGCTGAGGTTGGAGAATTGGGGGACTGATGCTGTGCTCATCAACAGTGTGGTCCTGAAGACCATGTGCATCCTCTCCAGTTGTCTTCTGGTGGTGGGGTTTGCCCTGATTTCTTCTTCCTCGGGCCTTCCCAACCATCAAGGGTGAACCTCTTCGATGTCTTTGTGGGCCGTTCTCCCTCCTCCGGGAGGGCGTCAGCAGGTGCTTGACTTGGATGAAGCCAACTTCCCCTCGGGCAACAAAGCGGTGTTGACGCTTCAACAGGGCGTCGCTTCCCTGGAGTTCCAGGTCGGCTGACTTTGAAAATCTTCATGCAGGTTTCCTCCAGGGTGTGTCTGTCCAAGGAGAGTTCCTTGTCCTCTCCCAGCAGGGTCGAGATCTGCCTGGCTGCGTTGGCTGCCTGGAGGAGCCTCATTGCAATGAATGCCAAAGTCTGGGCTGTGAATCCATGGTTGCCATCTGTGAAGTCGAAGTCTCTGGGACCATGTGCCCGGGCTTCTTTTGGGCTGTTTTAGCGATCTGGCAGGTTGTCCACTGCTTGCCGGGCCATCTCCCCTTGGACACGCCATGGAATCTGCTTGGAGACCAACAGGACCGAGAGCCCTTTCGTGAGCTTGTCCACATCCTTTTGTTGGTCTGCGGGTATGGCCTCAGGCGGAGTTGCCGGAGGTGGTGCTGCCATACCTTAGTGTTCAGTTCGTGCCCAATCTCAGGGTGGGAGTGGTGGGCTTTCAAATTGAATCCACATTGGAAACAAACCGGGGTTGCTTGAGCCAAAATGTCCGGTGGGCATTTTGGTTCAACATTCCACGCATATGACTTGCAACCGCAGAGCTAAATGCAAGAATCAAATGTATGTAAGTGTGAAAAAATGCCTTTTTCACACAAGAGTCGACTGAGCACCAACCTTCACTCCTTTTCTTGCGCAGTGGTTGGTGCCAGTTTGTCCTGGTTCCCTGTGTCTGGGATTGATCATACTGTATCTGTACAGTTCCAAAATTCAATCAACCAGGTGTGCCAGGTCGAAATATCCGCTATTTCCGAAAGACCTGGCACTTACCGCCATTTCCGAAGGATGCCGCGGTGTCTGTCGGGGTCCCTTCTCAAGGCCTGTGGCACCTGTTCAGGTCGTATCGGAGGCCTGGAAAATGGGGAGCTGTACATTCTCCGTCTCGAGACGGAGTCATCTGTGTCTGAAGCAGAGTCATTGGATGAGTCCGAATCATTGAATCTGCAGGTGCATCTCCAATCGCTTGGCGTCCTCTCTGGTACTCGTCCGGGAGATCGTGGGATTTGAAGCAACGAGTGCACTTGCCATAGAGGGCCATCTCGTTGAGGAAGTCATCCGGTGAAAAATCTTCAAAGCTCCCACTTTTGGGGCGCCAGCCACATCCCACTGCTGTGCCTTCCTGGTTCAGGAGGTGTATGCGGTACTGGCCTGAGGCTGTGGTTCTGGAGCGCGATGATATACAGCCGTAGGGAGCTTGGTGCTGGTTCTGCGAAGGGCGCGGGGAGTCCCTGGCCTCAGAGACGAAGCTCCATTTGCTGCTGCCCGGTGTTCCCCACTTGGGGTGTCCAAAGAGGACCCGCCGACTTGAGGTTCAGGTTGTCCACCTTGGATGCCACCTTGTGCCAGATCGATACCACCACGTTTCTTTGCTCCCTGGACTCGGTAAGCCAATTGCCCACGTATTGCTGCTGGGTGCGGGGAACCCCAAGTTGAAACGCGCAGTCTGGAATAATAAAGACTCCGGAAGTGCCATGTCAGTGGGTCTACCAAGTCTCGGGTAACCCCTTGTCGTGTCAATGCCTCTTTGAGCCAACGGAGGCCTCTGTCTGGTGTGCTGGGGCGGCAAATCACTCCATTGAAGTCCTTGCTGATGGTGGGGATCAGGAAGTTCCATGTCCTTGAACTTGTCCTCTTGTGCCAACTTCCGGATGGTGGCCACCAGGCCCGCCCACCAGTCCTTCCCCGAGAATCTGTACTTTGGGCATATCAAGCTGAGACCGTCTTGGTCTGCCATGCCTGGAGTTCGATCATCTCCATAGTGCAGTGAAACCGGGCAAGCCCCAGGATGTAGGAGTCCATGAGCTTGTGGTGTTCAATCCCGGTGCCCTCTGGGCTCACAGCACCAGTAGCCGAGAGGCCCGAGGCACCTTCTTCCATCGCCCAGGCTACCTCTTTGCTAGGGACCACCGCCTTGCGGTGGGGCTTGGTGGCCGTGTCTGCGAGGGACTCCTCCAGGGCCTGCTTCTTGGTCTTGAGGCGGTGCACCTCATCGAGGTTCAAAAGTCCAAACACCTTCGAGAGCCATTTCAAGGTGTTCCAGACCTGCTGGACGCTTGTACGGGGTGACCTCTTCCGCCGCCAAGACACTCAGGAGGTTGCGGACATCAACCTCACTTCATGGGATAGCTGTGAAACCCCGTTTTCTCAAACCTTCGTAGGCCAGGCAGTGTTGCCGTAGGGTCCTAAATCTGGCATCTCCAAGGAGGTGGCCCATCTCCTGCCGGAATGATGGCCCCATAATTGCCGCCATGTGTGGGACGCGCTCGGCATATGGAGCAAAGTGGGCCAAGAGCCTGTCCGCCCATCTCGCCTTCAAGTGGACTTCAAGGGCTCTCTGTGTGGTAGGTTCTGCCACCTTCATGTCTGGGGCCGCCAGCGTCTCCATTTCCGGTGGCGGAGTGGTGGAAGCTCATCTCGACAGTGTCAAGTGGTCATGCCCTCTGCATCCCACTTCTGTTGTAGCAGGTGACTAGGGCGACCTGCCCCCACTGAGTTCAAGACGGCCCCCAATTCCATTCAAGTAGCGTCAGCAATATCTGGGTGGGGGAGATGCCCCAAAGCCACCAGGCTGAGTTGGGATCAGATCACCCCGGGTTCATCGGGGTCCATAGAAATATGGTGCAGCCGCTCCAGTGGGCAAGTGAATCTGCGAGGTACGTCTGGCCAGAATCGCCTGCGAAGGCAGAACACCACCAGGAGTTCACCCTCCGACTGACGTAGGGAGAACCCTTCGTCAATCAGGGTGTCATAAAGATGCCTGGCCAAAGTGTCCCAGCACCTCGTGTAAGGTGGCCGGTGCTGGAAGTCATGCTCACTCAAGTGAGCTCCATACTGTGCTTGAGCCAGGGGGGGCAGGGCGATATAGTATATCAAGCTAAGCCGCGCAATGCTCCGAACCAGAGCTGAGAACCTAACAATTAAATTCTTCAAAGAATCAAAAAGAGCACATGCAAAAAATCAAGCACATCAACGGCTGCCACGTCTTGGGAGTGTGTCCCAATTCCAATGTGTACAAATCAATTCAAAGCAGTGCAAAGCCACAAATCACAGGTCAGCAGTGCTTAAAACATGCCTTGCACATACCTGACAGGCAGTGAATTGCTCCAAAGTAAGACATGCTGAAACAGGCCTTGCAAATACCTGACAGGCAGCGAGTTGCTCCAAAATAAGACATGCTTAAACATGCCTTGCAAATACCTGACACGCAGGGAAGTGCTCGGAAGTAACACATGCCTAAACATGGCTTGCAGATACCTGACAGGCAGCAAATTGCTCCAAAATAAGACATGCTTAGACATGCCCTGCAAATACCTGACAGGCAGTGAATAGCTCGAAGGTAACACATGCCTAAACATGGCTCACACACACCTGACAGGCAGCGAATTACCCCAAAATAAGACATGCTTAAACATGCCTTGCAAATGGCCTCCTTGCTATTGTGCAGGGGTTGAATTGGCATATCCATCACTGGTGCCGGGCAGTTCGTCATGAACGTTTTTGTAGCAAGGATGCGGCCCATCTCTTTGAAGAGGATGATCCAATCCTCTTTTGCTCTGGGGGCCCTTCCCTCGTCTGTGCTTGGGAATGGCAATCGGCATCTGGGCCCAGGCCGCGTAGATGAGGCGGAAGGGGTACCGGTGCCGTAGACGTTCTTCAGCGTCTGCAAATTCCAGGTCCATCAGCCCAGAACAGCCCCACGATGTCCTTGATTGGCGGGCGGAGGCCGTTCTCCACCCGCTCATCAACCTCTGCCTTAAGATCCTTAAGTGAAAAGGACCGGGTCCATCGGGTCCTGCATGTGGGACTCCACATGGGTACGTCTCTCCATGGCTTGCATATGCTCAAGAGTGAATTTGATCTTGAGGGCCCATTCAGGAGGATCAACGTCCTCCACTTTCCTCCGGCAGCCTGCATGCATGCGCTGTTCCCCCTTGTGGTACTTCGTGGCCCATGTGAGCATTGAGAGCTTCCTGGCATCTTCTGAAAGCTCATCCAAGCCCCCTTGTGCCGGGGAGGAGCCAGCTGCCTCGGCGTCATCATCTCAACCTTGAGATCAGGCACCTCCGTGAGCAACCGGGGCGGGAACGTACGCCTGCCTTTGTTGAGGTCTGTCAGGAAAGCCGTGTGTCTGGGGGGGTCACGCGGGTTGCGTCCTCATCCACATCGATCGGGCAGAAGAGGCCATGCTCCATCTGCAAGGAGGGCTTCATCTTCTGGCGCAACACTTCCAAGTTGGTCTTCCACAGCATTTCTACCCCCTTCCTGTAGACGCAACTCTCCGCCACCGACTGCATGCCCTCCTGGAGGGGGCCGAAAACCTGCATGTTGAGGGATACTGCCGGCTCCACTGTCTCGATCTTCTGGCGCTTGGCCGCTCCGTTTCCTGGTCATCCACAGTCTGTTCCACAACCTCCTCCCGCATGCTCATCCGGAGATATCCGGAATGCCATAGGGACCACGTCGGCCATTGAACTCATCCAGGGATGATGTCGCCACTGGTGCCTGAGCTAGCTGAGTGGCATCAATTGAATGGGCTAACTTCTGGGCCATCCCAGCATCGCTTTCGGGGCCTGCATGGGCACCCTTCGCGGTGTCGGGAGCTTGAATCCAAGTTGGCTTCCCCTCTACAGGCACCAAGTTCCTAGGGAATCTTCTTGCCCTTCTGACACAGGAAGCAGTAGGCATAGGGCGTAGGGTTGTACCCCAGAGGCCGTGATTTGAGGGTCGCAGCTCCGAGCCCCCGCCTTGGACTTGCCCTTGAGCGCGCTCATGATCATCCAAATAGCCTCTTGGTTACATTGCGCGCCTTCATCGGGATGTACGTTTCAATGATCCTGCGCACAATGGCTTCCGACAAAGGTGCATGAACCGCGAAAAGACGTCCACAAGCTCTTCTTCCGTACAGGTTTGCAACATGTGGACCAAGTAGTTCGGAATGCTGGGGAACGAGTCCGGAAAGGCAACCAGCTTGGTTGGCTGGGCCCAGCGTCCATCGCACCGGGTGGTGGATCATGGGCTGAACCTGGGGACGGACAAAGCCTGCAAGACCCATTTGGCTTTAGGGGGTGGGGAATCTGTCCGGCTTCGGGGTAGCCTCCGCTCTTTTCTGCAGAAAAGCTCAAGCCGCCACGCGGGAGGTCGTAGTCTTGAGTGGGAGCTGCCATCGTTGCGTCCATGGATGTCCATAGGGGCGGCCTGCTCTTCCTGCCCCTCACCAATGCCAAGATTCGCCAGGCGGCTGATGGTCGGTTTGACAGGACGGGCAAAGAAGTCCGCCGCTTCATCCTGGTCCTTGATCAATGAGTCAGAGATAAGTTCCCATTCGTCGCCCGAAGAAAACGCCATGTTGCGCGAGGGAGGGCGAAAACCAAAGAACCTTTCCAAATTGAATCCAAATTGGGAACAAACCGGGGTTGCTTGAAATGTCTAGTGGACATTTTGATGACTTGCAACCGCAAGCTAAATGCAAGAATCAAAAATTCGTGGGCGCGTGCCCAAGAGAAATTCCAAGTATGAACGTCGAACATACTCAAACATTTTGGGGCAAGAACGTTTTGGATACATTTGGGACATTTTGGGACAATGCCACGTAATGTTTCTGTTTCCTGGTGCTTCATAGGGCTCACATATGATGTTCTAGAAGGTGAGGGGGCAAGGCTTGGAATAGAGGCTACAAGCACAATGAACTTTAATTACTCTTGCCTGGGACCTTCTACTTCTACTTCAAACATCTGCAATCGACTTGCCTCAAGTGTGCCATGATAATCCAGGTCCATGATATCTCCAAATGGCTAATTTCTGCATTGTCTTCCGCGAATCTCCGGTAGGTGAAGCTGTCGGTAGACCCACCTCAGAATGTTCAAGATCACATCTGGAAGCTTCCAAACTGGCATTGCTGACATTCAAAATACTGTAAACATAATAAATGCAAATTGAACGGGCTGTATCAAGTCGGACGTATATTCACCCAGCCTCATTCAGTTTGGTTTGCTTAATATACAATTTTGGAGAGTGGTGGCAATGCGTGTCCGGACGTGGTTCGACGCTGATACGCTGATACGCTGAGTAGCTGAAAAGGTTACAACCTTGCACGGGTAGTACGCTGATACGCTGATGCGCTGTTACGCTGTTACCCTGTTACCCTGATACGCTGATACGCTGGTACGCTGGTATGTTGTTGCGATCTGTTGCGGTGGTACGCTGATACGCTGTTACGCTGATACGCTATTTGCGCTGTTACGCTGATACGCTGTTACGCTGGTACGCTGATACGCGGATACGCTGACACGGTGTAACCGGTGCGACGGGTACACCGGTGTAACGGTGTAGCCAGTGTAACGGTGTAACCGGTGTAACGGTGTAACCAGTGTAACCAGTGTAACGGTGTAACCGGTGTAACCGTTGTATCCGGTGTAACCGGTGCAACCAGTGTAACGGTGTAACCGGTGTAGCGCAAAATGCTGGACACTACTTGTCAGCAATGCAATTTTGACCCATGCCTTGATCTTGACAACCATTGGCTTCAGAACCCTCGCTCGCAAGGGAACACAAGAGTTCAACCTGAAGAATGTTTTCTGATGGATTAAAACTCCGGTACGAGCAAATTTCACTAGCGCCCTAGGATCAGCTAGGGGGCAGCACTCCAAACGCTTTGAAAACTTGTTGGAATTTTCGCGTGGGCAATGTAACACTGCCACATTTCATTTGACACGCAAGCCTGTGACATCTGCAAACCCTAATTACCAGTAGTACCGCACAAGGCGGTGGCGGAAGTTTCAAAGATAGGAAACCTATAGGAAAGGTGAGTTGTCGTGATGCTTAGAGCCACCCCACTGATGGACTGGAAGGTGGCTGAGGCTCTGAGGCTCTCTCTCTCTCTCTCTCTCTCTCTCTCCCCCTCGCTTTCTTTATATCCATCCACCTTTCTGTCCATCTATCTGTCTATCCCCATATCTGTCTACGTATCTATCCATTCTCTATCTGGCTGGACTATCTACTACCTATCCATTTATGCATCTATCTATCGTTCTATCTATCCTTATCTTATCTAATTAATCTAACCTAATCTTATTTGTCTTTTGTCTTATCTTATCTTATCTTATCTATCTATCTATCTATCTGACGATCTGTCTTTCTGACTATCTGACTATCTGTCTGTCTATCTGTCTGACTATCTGTCTATCTGTCTGTCTATCCGTCTGACTATCTATGTATCTATCTTTCTTTCTCTCTATCTATCTACTTATCTGTCTGTCTGTCTGTCTGAAACAAAGCAATTCCGCGAGGCTTCCTATCAAACGGATGCGCGCAGGTCCCAAAATGAAGCAATTCTGCGAGACTTCCTCAAAAAATACACGTTCACAGCTCCAAAGCGAAGCAATTCTGCGAGGCTTCATCAAAAAGTAAAAGTTCACTAAAACAATGAAATTCTGCGAGACTTCCTCAATTTTTGAACTATCTGTCTGTGTATCTGAACATCTGTTGATCTGTCTCTACCTATCCATCTATCTTTCTTTCTTTCTACCTTTCTATCTTTCTATCTATCTGTATCTGATTCTATCTGAACATCTGTCTATCTGTCTACCTATCTGACTATCGGCCTATCTATCTTTCTATCTATCTGTCTGTCTCTGTCTGTCTGTCTCTGCCTGTCTGTCCAACTGTCCTATCTGTCTAATTATCTGTCTGTGCATTTATCCATTTATCTATCTATCTGTCTGTCTGTCTATCTGCCTGCCTGAAACCCGAAACAAAGCAATTCTGCGAGACTTCCTAAAAAATGGAACTGTCCTATCTGTCTAATTATCTGTCTGTGCATTTATCCATTTATCTATCTATCTGTCTGTCTGTCTATCTGCCTGCCTGAAACCCGAAACAAAGCAATTCTGCGAGACTTCCTAAAAAATGGATGCGCGCAGATCCAAAACGAACAATTCTGCGAGATGTGCAAAACGAAGCAAGTCTGCCTCAAAAGAGTGAATGCTCACAGCTCCAAAACAATGAAATTTTGCGGGGCTTCTCAATTTTCGAACTTGAGAACATCAAAAACGAAGCAATTCTGCGAGACTTCCGTGGAAAATAGAAAGTTGAGTGCAGACCTGACGGCCTCGTAGCAATGCTTTTTGCCGTGTTTCCACTCCATGTGTAAGTACTGCGCCTGCCACGAAAAGTTGAGCCAAGAAGAACTGCTGCAGCACCTATGACGCGACATGATCTTAGCAAACCCGAAGATCTGATGCTCCAAAATGCCTCTCAGGAAATGAGCGCCCTGACCGTCTAACATGTCTGACTCATGTGTCTCTTGCACTGCGCCGGCAAGGTGAAATGCATCTTTGCAGGCCCTCGTCACATGTCCCACGCCTGCCATCGTTTTTGACACTGTTGCAAAATGCCAAGCCCACACGTCTGGCTCTCCTTTTACAACGTGCAGAATCCATTGCGCCTGCCACACAAACGACGCTTGAACGTCCAAAAGCGGTCCGAACATGTGGTGTTTTTGCATGTTTTTGCCATTTTGACATATTTTGACTTGGAAACGTGCTTCGCGCCACAAAGGCGCGCACTTTGTGAACATCTCAGCATTCTCAACTTCCAAAAATGCTCCGGACCCGAGTTTTTTTAAAAATTCGAAATGTGCTTCGCGCCACAACCTCGTGCACTTTTTAAAGGGCTCAACTTCCAAAAGTGCTCCGACAATGGTGTGCTTTTGACATCCAAATCTGCTTCGCGCCACAGCGGGGTGCAATTTTTGATCTCTCATCTGACGAGATGGCTCCGCACCCGCCGTTTTAGCGAGCCTACTTTTGACCCTCCAGGGCCGCAAAACATTGCAAAACCACAGTGTTTCGCGACTTTTCTATCTTTTCGTGCGCCTGGATCGTCTTTCTTCTGACTCTTTCTCTTCTCTGATCTTCTTTACTTTTTCCTCTTTTTTCTTCTTCTTTCTTTTTTTTTATTTTTTTTCTTTTTTTTTCTTCTTGTTTCTTCTTTCTTCTTTCTTCTTTCTTCTTTCTTCTTTCTTCTTTCTTCTTTCTTCTTTCTTCTTTCTTCTACTTCTTTCTTCTTTCCTCTTCTCCTCTCTTCTCCTCTCTTCTCCTCTCTTCTCCTCTCTTCTCTTCTCTTCTCTTCTCTTCTCTTCTCTGACTCTTCCCACCTCTGCTGCTGCATCAGTCCATATTGTCGAAAATTTGACTTTGAAACTTCCTTCGGCAAAGTATTCCTGAAATTCTGAAGGCATGACAAGCTAAACGCCCAAGCCCAAGCAAGATCGTGAAGCTATTGCATTTTTAGATTTTTAGACTTTCAGCCAAACCAGAATGACATTCAGG